TATTGCAGCAGGGAAAACAGTCCAGCATAAACTAAACTCAACTTTGATTTGTAGAGGCAACTGGGCAGTTTAGAAGGAGAATGAGGGAACAGGGAGGAGGTGAGTGGGGGCTCACAGACTTGGAGGAGTTAAAAATTACAAAAAGCAGGAAGGAGGGTTTGGCCCACATTAAACACATCTGGGTTTGTTAACTGGAACTGATGCAAGTTAGGTTCCTACCCTCTGACTAATGCTGGGAGACAGAGACCCTATCTTCAGATGTTGCCTGGAACTAAAGGTAAATTCTTCGGCAAACTTGAGCTTTCTCAGGAAGATATTTTAAGGGTGGGTGGGGTGATCCTTGGGATGGAGCTGTTAGAAAATGTTAGTGTCTGTTCAAGTCTTTATAGGCTAACTTAAGGCCTACTGGAGAAAGGACTCAGAGGAGCCTGGCTAGAGTTTGCTCAAGGAGAGAATCTAACACACACACTAACACACACACACACACACACACACACACAAGTATTTTGTTTCCTTCTTGTACATAGACCTAAGCATTAGAACAGATCATTGGATTTGGTGATTATAAGGCAGAATAGTAAGAAGCTAGGGCGATTCCTTGACAAGTGGAATAAGGGAAACTGAGACAAAATAGACAAGGCCAAACAATTTGAGCAATTTACAGCCAGCTAATAAATCACACGGTTTTATCTTCCGTAACCAAGGACACTTAGGAGCAAATGGTTTACACATTCCACATTGTCCTGGAGCAGACCGGCCTCAGTCCCCATCCTTCTTCAATAATGTTCTTTAAAAATAAAACTAATCACAAAACAACCCTGGCCCCTTTGCACACATTTTTTTTTTTTTTTAATTCTCATCTGAGGATATTTTTTCCATTGCCTTTCAGAGAGAGTAGAAGTGAGGGGGAGGGAGAGAGAGAGAGAGAGAGAAACATTGATGTGAGAGAGACACATTGATTGGTTGCCTCCTGCACAGTGCTCTGACCAGGCCAGGGATGGAGCCTGGGACCCTTCAGTCTGAGGGCTAATGCTCTAACCACTGAGCCAAACCGGCTAGGGCATTTTACACACAGTTTGATAAATTAACATATTGAAAGACACATCTATCTGAAAAGCTATTCTGTTAAGACCCTCCTCTAGGATTCTACCAGCCAAAGGAAGATAAAGGATCTAGACAAAGGATCCTGCACAAGCTCTTCCTCCTAGGAGCAAGCTCACGCTTTTTCCTTCCCCAACTTCTTCCCCCACAGACATTCATCACCTAAACTCCAAGGAACCCCAGGAGACTTGCAACCAGGGTAGCAGCAGTAGACAGCTGCAGCTCCACCTGGGCTAACCCCCTGAACTTGTCTCCAAGGCCCCCTTTTCCCTGATTTTCTCTCTCCTGTTGCCCTTCATTTCACTGTCCCCAGCTTTAATAAACATACTTTCAAAAGCACCTGGACTCTTTTTTGTAAATTCTTTCCTACATGAAGTCAAGAACCCCCACACTACCAACTGGCGCTAGGCAGACCCACCCTGGGCCCAGGCCCTCTCTGGTAACAATTATAGGTCATTAGTGACCTTTGAAATAGCTTGTTTCAGCGGATGTTAGAGAAGTTACACTGCAGGGGCTTAAAATCTGAGTGAGGAAAATACAGGAGGGCCTTTTATGTGTTAACCTTTGCTTAATGTTGCACTAGTAGGATGTGGTTATTATCCTTATTTTACCCATGTAGCTCAGAAAGGCTAGTTGGCCAAAGCTATTAAGAAGTAGGGAAGGGCCCCGCGGGGCGTGGCTCAGCAGTTAGGTCAGCGTGGACCAGGGATCCGGGAGGTTTGATTCCAGGTCGGGCACATGCCTGGGCTGCGGGCTGGATCCCCGGGGGGGGCCTGTGGATGACCCTCTCATCACTGACGTTTCTCTCTCTCCCTTCCTCTCTCTGAAGTCAATAAAGATAGATTAAAAAAGAAAAAAATAAGTAGAGAAGGGATTAAAATAGGGTTGGCTAATTTCTAAACTTTGTGTACTTTGTTTTTTACCATACTGTCGAAGAAGGGATAAAAGGAGACTAGTCCCGGGGACAAAATCCTGATCCCCTGCATCCTGGAGAAGCTGAAGGCACTGAAGTAGCAGAGTGGGATTTCATGAGCTATTAATTATAAAGTGTCATAAATTTTTAAACACTTCCAAGAGGTTACGAGAAGATGGAAGCAAATTAAAAAGGCTGTTTGGGTCTCGCTGGCCCTCGGGGTAGGCTCAGGTCCGGCCCGCAGGTGGGAACCCTGGGCCGGCCTGGGTCCTCATGCGCCCCGCGCGGCGCCCGGGGTCCCCCAGGACTGCCAAGGAAACCACCGCTGCCGGACGCTGAGCTCGGACACGAGCTCAGAAGGGAGAGGCCCGAGCAGCCACGAGCTCGCAGACGCCCCACAGTCCCAGGCGGCCGGAGCGCCGGCGGCGGCCAGGGCC